TTCTAGGCTAATGTATATTAATGTCTAGATTGTGATTTAATATGTTATTATATTGTTAATTTATAAATGTTTTATTGGTTAATTTATCAGATATTTGGTAAACGAATTAAACCATTTTTATTGTTGTTTAAATTCAATCCCAAAATTCCAGAAACTTTGAGTAACTGGAGAAGTGGTGTACAAATTTTGGGGTATCTGGAAGTTGATAATTTTGTAGTAAATCATGTGGGAATTCAGTTTTAAGACAAATATTTTGTTTATTTCATAAAATACTCATTTTAGTTTGTTTTAACAATTTGAATCTGCTCTTAACAAGATAATCTGCTCATGTGACATCCAGTTTGCACTGCATTATATAAATGAGAAGCCTTTGTGTGAAGGTATATATATATTTTTTAATTACAGAGAAAAAGCTGATAATTTCATCTTAGCAGTTGACAGCATGCCAGTTTTAGACATTCTGCCAATTTCCTTCTTCATATTTGCTGTTGCTTTGTTGATGATTTAAGATTTCTTGAGTCATTGACAGATTTGTTGAATACAGGGCAGTTCAATTGTTAAATTCTACAAAATTCTTAATAGTTATACTGGATATTGATTCTACATTCTTTGCAAAGTGTTCTGTACATTGGACACTTTTTGAGAAATTATCATCATAAGTAACATCGTCAAGTTCACATTTCAGCTTCTTGCAAAGCACTTTGGAATCATTTCCTTTAAAATGCTGTCTTAAGCAGGACTACACCAAGTAACTACATCCAACTCATTTTTTCCATTAACTAGTTCACTAGCTGATTATGCAGAATGAATTTTTTGAACAGATTGCATAATAAGTGTTATCGTTAGTAAACTTTAAATGCTTAATAATCTCATATTCCAGAAGCTGTACATGATATGTGGTGTTGGATGGAAAAAACTTGATAGTGACATTTATCAGTTTAGTATCCTAATTATGAGTTGATGCATTGCCAATGAAAAGAAGAATATTTCTTATTTTTCATTGCATTATGTCATTAAATCCAAGCAAAAAGAGTTAAAACTGTTTCAACAATCATTCAAACCATCCCATTGCTATGTCAGTAAATGGGAAGATTTTTCTTTCAGAATCTTGGAATTCTAGAACACAGTTCCTAAAAGTAGTAGTAAAACATAGATTTTGACTAGAACAGTTGAAAAGTCTGGATTTCTGTGGGTATTTGGATTTTGAGGTTCCGCTGTATTATTTTGTATGAATATATCACGTGATCTGTGTCCATTTTGTTTCTTAGATTATTTAATTATTATAACTTGTTCTTTATTTATAAATTTATAAACAGTTTTAAATTTAGAGGAGAAGGTGGTATTATGGAACCCCAATTACATTTTAGAGAATTGTAAAGAAGGTATCATAACTACACTCACATTTTTTGTGTGAAAAGTACTGGTAACTAGTAAACTAAATGTTCCTAATTGGATTTTTCGCTAGTGTAACTATAAGTATGGTTTTTGAAGGCTTTTGTACAAAAAGTTCGAAAGTAGGCTTAGAGAAAATCGGGTGGTAATATGGAACCTTACTGTATATTTTCAAAAAAATGCTTTAATGTAGCCAAAAAAAATAGGAAAGGACAAAAAATGATAAATAATTACCAAATTATTTACTCCAATGTATTTTATCGCAAAAATGCTTTTATAATAGAAAAATATGACCTCCATCAACAATATATATTCCAGCAGCTCTTTTTCGATATTCTCGGGAAGAATTGACTAACTATCTAGTGTCTTTTTCACAAATTGCTCTGGAGGAATGTCTGCTTGCAAATAGAAAGTTCGGAGGAGTTGAGTTCCATATTACTGTAAAAGCACCAAAGGGGTCCGTGTTTCACGCATCGCCATCTCGAATTAACTTATGTCTGTCGAGACCAAAATTTAAAAAACGTGAACATCACACAGATTAATATGTACCCCCAAGTCTCTGGAACGGAATACATGCACTGGTGATCCAACAACTACACGATTTATATTTTAAAAATAATTAAATTCACTTAGCATTCAAAACTTGCGAATTTTGAAAAAAACAAATTTGCTGATTAAATACGGACAACTGTTTAACTGAAGTAAAACGGGTTTTCCCCTTGCTATGGATGTCTGCCTAGTTCGGTTCAGCCACATTCCGCTACAGTTCGCCTTTATTATCAGTTTGAAATGGAGTGGTTCCATAATACCTGCAGTGTTCCATAATACCACCTTCTCCTCTATACATTAAGAATAATTTTAGAATTAAAATGCTGTATGTTTCAATATTTGAGTTTTTGATATTAAGTTTTTTGAAGATAGATTTTTCTGTTAAAAATGTTTAGTAGCTATTGAAGGAGCTTGGAGATGCCTCGAACTTGCTGCTTGAAGTGCTCATTGCCTTTAAAATAGCTCAGTGCAAAACAAATGCTATTTTTGCTTTTTATTTTATTATTTTTTTGTTAAAACAAAATTCCTCCTGTGGATTTCTTTTGGTTAGTGAAAACAGATACTAATATAGATCTTTTGTATAAGCAGGGTTCTTAATGCATTTGGAAAGTCATGGAAAAATCAGGGTTTTTTATTAGTGTTCATAAAAAGTCATGGAATGTCAGGGAATTTGTTAAAAATTGTCAAAAAGTCAAGGAATTTGCTTCTTTGGCTGCTTTGTTGATTTTTTGTTGACATGCTTGACTAAGTGTAGCTGTCTGCAGGCAGCAAGAAGTAATGTGATGCAATACAACTTATGAAAAAGGTGCACAATATTTTCAGGATCAAAAATTTCTTCTCCCAAGCTAAGCTTCCACAAAATTTCCCCTTAAATTTAAAAAGTACATAAAATGATAACTAATTTAAATGTTATCATCATTTTTCATTTTAATAATTTTGATTGTGTAACAAAACAATGTTGGATTTTTTTCCCCATTTATTAAAATTTTATAAAATTTAGGAAATTTATTAAGAGATAAATTTATATACTTTTGTACATCAATTATATAGAATTTGTTAATGAATAGTAAAAAATAATTGTTTTTTTTTCAAAGCCTTGTAGATTTTGATTTTGGATTAATAACAGAATTTTAATAATATGTTTTATTTTTAGTTTTAATAATTTGGCAATTATAAATAATATACAGTAGAGCATCGATTTTCCAAAAGTCAATCATCCGAAACATCAATCATCTGAAAGAATTCCAGTCGGCAAATTTAAATTTTTGCCAGTGCTGTGGCGCTTCAATCTTTGGATATGTCTTGGGCTACTCAAATACTTTACATTTTTGATACTAAATTAACTTCTGAAGTATAATTTTTTATTATTTTTATATTTTTCAATATATTTATTTTGTTTGTACAAAATAAAAAAATAAGTTTTAATGATACAATAGTCTTTGTTAGGCTTAACATCGACAAAAATTTAATGCGAAGCGACACGCAACGGTGAAAAATTTCAACATCGGATACGTTAAACTATTTTTTCGTACGTAAATCAGTTACAACCCCAGTCCCCAATTGATTCAGAAAATCAACGCTCTACTGTATATAACTTTTAATTAGAAAAAATAACTAATTAAAATGTTGAAGAAGCCAAACATGTGCATAGGAAGTCAAATGCTGTTTTATTTTGTCAATGTTCCATACCGTAAGGGACGTGAGGGTCAGGGAATTTGTACACAGTTGGTCAGGGAAAGTCATGGAAATTAAAACAAAAATTTGAATAGGAACCCTGTATAAGTGAAGTGGTATAAAACAAGCTTTTGTAAAGCAGGGGATTGTATTTAGAATTTCTACTCAATAGAATTTTATTAGATTTGTGCTAAATTTTAGAATTTCACTTTTCATTATTATTATTATTATTATTTTTAAATGCTATTCTCAGTCAGGTTAAATGGGATTTTTTTAATAAAAATTATTGCAGTTCGTATTATGGTTAAACTTCTGAGATTTGTGGTACTAATATTACTATTATGCCTATTATAATTGAGGTGTTTTTGTTGAAGATTTTTTTTAAGTTAATCATATAGTTCTTATTAGTTATGCAGCTGAAGGATGAAGGATTGGTCTCTTAAACTGATCTATAGTTTGTGATTATTACTAGTGTGCAAGATAAGCTCTAACAGTTGGGCTTGAATTGGCCGATTTGTTATGTTTACTTATTTCATTTCTTGACATTTTTATTTCTTCTGTTTTGTTCTGGTTGATTTTAGGATTGGGATATTAAAGTTTTCTGGTTTCGAGAATGACAATTAATTTATTTTTGTTTTGTATTCTTTAATGCCTATTGTATTGAAGAAGAACCCAGAAGGGGTGTCAAAAACGTTTGCATTTTAAAACCGAATGTTGCTCCGGTTAATTGGTTACAAGTAAGAAGATTTATAGAAAGTATTCCTTTCTGGAGAACTTGTTTTCAAGTCTAGTTTGGATCTTTGGGAAAGTTTTTAGCTGTCAGCCCATAAATTTAAGTTCAAGCCCATAATGATTAGTTTTTTAGTTTTTAATTGCTAAATTGCTGGAAATGTTTTAGAGAAGAAATTTTGACTTGAATAAAATACAAGTATTGTATTCAAGTGGTTTGTTAAATGTAACAGTAATATTTTCTGTAATTAAAATAAAAATTTTTAAATAATTATATTTTTATTTTTTCTTCTTTTTGTTTCATTTTAGTAGCAATAAAATACAAATATGTAATTTAAAAAAGTAAAAGAAAATCTATGTTAATAAAAATGACTTAATTTATATTAAACATAATTTTATACATATTTAGAGCTTTATCTTCATAAGTAACAATAATAATTCTTTTAGTAATTTTATTCACTTATTTTCAACTAAAGTTTAAGATATTAATATTGAAATTGAAACTTTTACTACTTTATTAATATTTATTGTTGAAATCATATAATTGGAAAAATATATGAATATTAATAGATAATTATAAATATTTTTTGAATTTTAGATATTTATGTTTGAAAGTAATATAAAAATAGTAATTTGACTTTTCCCCCCATTAACAGGAGGAGATTGAAGCGCAAAAAAAGGATTGGGAATTAGGAAGATTAAAAGCTCTGAAGGAAGAAGAAGAAAGACGTGCTGCAAAAATTGATGATGATGAGGAACCTCTTCTTACTTATGGGCGAGAGGATGCTTATACTCAGGTGGCTAAAACAAACAAATCTCTAAAAGGGAGGGGCACTAAATGTTTGGGTAAAAGAAATAGAGGGGGGAGTTGTGAATCAGGAAATAGTACACTTAACACAAAAACACCACAACGCAGAAGTAAACGCATTATCATCAAGAGGGAATTCAAAGATAATAGTGAAATGGAAGATAAAGGCAAAATGTGCAGAAAGACCAAAAAAGTAGTTAATCATGTAGATGAAAAATTATTGACAAAGACTAATTCGAAAGTGAATTGTTATCCTTTGACGACAACAACAACAATTACAACAACAACAATCACCACCTCAAATGGACCTAATAAAACTTATGATAGTAATGAATGTAAAAATAAAATTTCCCATAATATATTATCAGGAGTTGGTAGTAAAATAAAAAATTCTGCTACTGTACCACTTCCATTCTCTAATCCTAATTTAGTTATTCGCACTCGACGAGCTTCGGCCAGACAAGCTGAGGCTGAAAAATTAAAACAAGAATCTGATGTTGAAATTGATGTCGTGACTGTTAACTCCAGTGAATTAAGTTTTGGACATTTGGGAACAAATAAGTATATTTCTTTAAAACAGTCTTCTCCTAATTCCAGAATTTCTCCAGAAAAACATGTAAAAAAGTCAAAATTTAGTTCCTTAAAGCAAAGCCAAGAAAGTTCAGGAGAAGAACAAAATGGCGTCTGATTATTGCCTTAAGTTTACATTTAATATCTAAAACTAGCTTTATTTTATACATTTTATGTATATAAATGATCAATACAGGCAGATTACAGGTTCTGCCATTGGAGGCCAAAGTCGTGTAAAGAAAGAATGTGTGTTTTTCAACTGCCTTGTCTATAGTGGGTGCTTGATACTGATTGGAAAGTATGTTGTACAAAATATACTAGATGGTCATAGTTGTCATCAGTTCTAAGTTGCACCAAGCACACAAACAGTCTGGAACTGGTTGTAATTTTTAAAACACCACTTGATGTTAAAACAATGTTAAATTTTGTGATAATCTAGTATCTCTATGTACATTGCATTTTGGGCAGCCAACTAGCCATATGATGAAATGGCATTATTTACATATGCAGTTTGATTATAACAGCATATGTATATCACTCTTGTATGAATGGATGTTAGTCTTAGCTATTAGCATTATTTATGGTGTTGTAAACCCCAGATGTGTTCCAATAATAAAGAATGTTCCCAAGAATCTTGCTTTTTGTGTCTCATTTTTCTTGGTCAAAGTTAGTTGGTGTTCTGGATGGCATATGCTTTTCAGCTAATGGCTTCCATAAGTCAGGTTTTGGTGTCAATCCACAAGCTATAATCTCCTGTAAAATGATGGGATCTTGCTCAAAATATGCATATTTCTTTTGGTAGACATTTTTTCTCATTCTGCATTATTTGGATTGTGGAAAGACAGTGGCCATATATTAATATAATTTGGATGAAATAAATATTTGTGGCCTCTCTTTTTGGCACCAAAACTTGATATTAATATGCAGTGCCATTCTGCTCCAGCATTTGTTCTACCAAGAGAAATGGGATGCATTTTAGAGCAAGATAGTTATTCATTTCCCATTATAATTTTAAAACAGATATGTTTAATAACAACTTAGAAAATTTTTTAGTTAATTATAAACATCATCATGAAAACATATAATGAAAATTGATGAAGCTATTTCACCTATTCAATAATTTAATTATTGAAATGGTTAAATTAATGAATTAATTTTTTTACGATAATCAGTCAAATGATGATGATAATTTGGATGTTATATTATCTTGTAAAATTAAGTTTACAAAATTATATATATAATTATTTACTTACTTATTTATTAGTGGCTTAATCGTAGATATTGAAAAATTCAGATAATAAATAAAAACAACAATTCTTCTAAAATACATTTTTAATTGATAGATACAATATTTTATATGAAATATACATCATTAAATATATTCTAAATTTCTTATATTGGCCATTTCATGTAATGATATATGCTAATTATGTTTCTAATGAAAAAGTAATAATGGTAATGCTTGCCAGAGTGAAATTTTTTTATAAGATCTTACATCAAAATAGTTTTTTTTTTCCCTCCTTGCCATTACATTTTCAGTTTAAAAAATATATTTACTATTTAGTGAATTTATAAATTGTTTTGAAACTTTAAAATGTTGATAAATTTTATTATATTTTAAGTATATTTTTATTCTGTTATAAAGACTACAAAAACTTTTATAGAAAATGATAGTTTTTAATTTCATTTAATATCTAGAAATATTTCATTACCATTATTAAGATTATTATATTAATCAGTCAGAGAGGAGAAAAATTGTTGATATTTATAATCATTTGTTACCTGATGTCAATAAAAGGAATCTACATATAATGAATTAATTAAACAATAAAACTTTTAATAAATATATAATTTTAAATTCTTAATAAATTGATTTACTGATAATTTACTACATGTAAATTCTGTATCAATTAAATTTTTATAAGGAGATTGTTGAAAACAAGAACTGAATTTAATTTAAATAGATAATACTGATTTTCTGATTTTATCCTATAGTATTTTCTTGCTAGAGAATTTTTAATTTGAAAACAGATACTTCTTGATTTCCATAAATTACAATTTTTTCATTTGTAAATTTTTGAATATTATTTAAACATAATTAGGATGGTTTCAAAATAAAAATATAATTTTTTATTATAAAAATATTCATACTAACAAAAGCAAAACTGTTGACACTGTTGTTTATATGTTCACTGAAATTTAAATATTTTTACAAAAAGCTAGCAGAATATTTTTTTTTTATTTTATGTTTTTCTGTTTCATATAATAGCATACATAAACTTAAAATTGTTTATTAATCCTTTCACTCATAAATATATTCTCAGATTTTTTCCTCTTCATTATATACAATAGACCCCCTATAACACTGTAGATAATTCTGTATTATATGAATTCCATGTTGTGCGAGTCACTTAGATTTTACAAATGCGTGTGCCGGGCTGTGAACGGCTCATGTATTTGTAAAATCTAAGTGACCCATACAACACAGAATTATCTACAGTGTTATAGGGGGTCTACTGTATCTTTAAGCTACATTATTATGATAATTAAAACATCTGACATCTTAAAGTGGATTTTATGGTAGAAAGTGAAGTTTATTATTCTTAGAAGTAAGTTGCATGTTGGGTCAGTATTTATAACATGAGTATAAGTCATTCAAACATAATATAAAATTCAAATATTGTTCAATTGATGTATTTAATAAATCAGTTGATGCTAAAGAATTTTTTCTTTAATTTTATTTGTGCATAAATTAGATTTAAATTCTAATTGAATTTTTTAATTATTATTAATTTTATTTATTTAATTACAAATAGGAAATTTCCCAAAGACAAGTGATTTCTACCCAACTAAACCAACAAAAATCTCACACACTGATAACAGAAAATAAAATTTAAAACAATATTTGATAATTATAAAGCATAACATAATTCATAATAATATGGATAAGCATTCTTAAATAAAATATATAAATATAGATAAGTTATTATCTTTCATATTTATTTTAAATTATTAATACTGATTTATAAATATTTAGATAAAAATAACTCAAACAAAAATGTTCTTAGAATATCATTCAAAAAATTTGTCAATTGTCATATTCTTTGTGTGTTTGAAGCACTTGTTAGTCATAGCGTAATGTCAGTTAAAAAAAATCATTATTAAGTTAATGTTTTGTAAATTTTTTAATAGGTGTAGGCAAATAGTTGATTTTACTTATTTATATAAACATTTTATTTTTAAAAAGTTGCTCATTATTATAAAATGTTTGACTGGAAATGAGCATTCAAACCATCTTTTAGAATATTTTTTTCTTTGAATAGTCAACAGATAAAACTAGATATTTTACAGTGTAGAAAATTAAGCACTTACATATTAGGTATATGAACTAATTTTAAAATTGGAAAAATAAATTTGAATTGTTATTTGAAAGAATTAAAGCTATAAAAAGTTTACTAAATAATTTTCTTATAACATGCAAATATTGATGCCAGTTATCCTTTTGTTAGTATGAAATTTGTCAGTTGCTTTTACAAAAGTTTTTATAATCTAATTGGAATTTTGTAAAAATTTTCCTTTGATGATAAATTTTTCATTTTTTATTTTATGGTTTGTTTTTCATATTCACTTTTTTCCAAATAACAATGTAATCTTTTTAGAAAGTAATTGGTAAATTTATAAATACAGTCGAACCTCATTAACATGAATAGTTATAGTGCCAAAATTTTGCTCAAAATTTAAATTGTTAAATTTTGCTCAAAATTTAAATTTATAAAGTTCAGCAAAGACAAGCCTTGCTGAACTTTATAAATTATTATCTATGAGAAAGAGAGAGAGAATAAGCATTGCAACGGACACTTAAATTATGTACAGTAGTTGTTGCAAGCTGAGTAGTCAGATAATTTTTAAGAAAAACTATAAATCTCTTAATGAAGTAATGTGAGTAGTAGTCTGATGTTAAAAAATTAAGGTTTAAAGCATGTTGAAAGTCACTTAAAAATAAACTATTTTGAGGTTTTTACTCATTCTCAGTAACATACATAGAACTATAAAATGAATAAGTTTCAATTCTCTTCAGTTGGTAAAGAATGACACACTTTTAAACATTGCAAAGGTGATATGAACAAGTTTAAATCACAGAATTTGGTTGGAAAACTTTTGTATTTATATAATTGTCAGAAACTTATCCAAAATTCAAAACTTGATGGGTTTTGAGGATGGATCTGAATCTGAAAACACTTTAATCAAACTTTGTTATAAGAATTTAGGTTTGTTTTATAATATTTGAACAACTTCCTTTACTGAAATATTCAACTTGCAGGCACAATAATTTGAAAAAAAAATTTTGTAGACATTAAGATTTCTTACGGGTGGCGATCATCACTTCACTTGAAATAGAATTTCATATTAAACATGTTTTAAAAAGTGTTGTAATTAATATAAAATTTGACAAGGAATTTTGAAATACTTTTGTGCTAATGAGGTTTGACTAATTTCATGTATTATCTCTGTAATATCTAACTTTTAGCATTCTGTTATCATTGTGTTTATTTTTTACAACTGTTAAATAAAAATTACATCCTTCAATTATAACTCACAATTATAATTACTGTATTATTATTGAAGATATGCAGTTTAAAATAAGTGACTCTGATTTTAACTTCCTAATGTCTTGTATGTATTCCTGATTCCATTCCATTTCAACATGTTAAATTCTTTCATAAATCTTTTATTTCTTGATTTCTAAGTGTAGCTTTACTTGAGTTGAGATAAATTTTAAAGTTTGAATTTGTAATTTTTATTTTGGTTATATACATCAGTACATATAATAGCGCACATAAAAACTAGAACAGTACAAAAATGAAACTAACACCCATGCGATTTCTAGCAAACAACTGTAAAGTTATAATGTTTTCTACCACAATCTGGAGATCCTCATCAGGATACAAAAGAAACAAAAAACAAAATGACAGTTCTATCATTCCATGGAGAATACCATTACGTTTAAAATAGCAATTCCAAATATTCAAAAATATGTTTGTTTCATGACACACAGTTTAAAGCATAAAAATAAAAGAAAGGCTTTCAACGATTCAATTCGTTATGTGGTGT